TGGTTCGCCCGATATCTCTTAGGCCTTTCGTCCACGATACTACAGGTATATCTATAGAAAGAGAATGTCTATTGTCATTGTTGGAAAGAAGACTCGTGCGACAGTGTCACGACCGGCACACTTCAAATCCGACGGACTGACGATAGAGATAAAGATGTGGCGGCCCTCCACGACAATGTATATCGCTAAAGTGGCGTCCTTCCACCGAAGATTCTAGAAAAAAGAGCACGTGGCAACGATCGCGGACGCCTAGCAAATGCATGGACGGTGGGAATGTTGAGGGATGACAAAAGAAAGTAATCGGATCCGATCGAAAGTAAAATCATAAGAGTCAGTCCTAGAAAGTCACGCCTAGAGTTCGGAAGTAGATTGTAAAGTGTATTGATGTTAGAAAAAAATAAAGTTTTCTTTTTTTATTTTTCACCTCAAATTCCTTTTTTATTTAGTTATTTTACGTGATAACAGCATAGGGGCAAGCAAGATATTGCCCTTTATCGTTTACCGCCATGCGTTGCTATATTGTTTTATTTGTACATACGTATATGTGACAATGTAACGCTTTTGTCCTTTTATAGCAATATGCGTGCTTATATTTATGACCATGTCGAGTCTATTAAAAATAGCCAATTAGGTCTACATCCCTGTTCTTCTTTTCAGCAATAAAATGAATGTAACATACTCAAATGTTGCACGAATAACCTACATATTGTATATTAGTAGAAGAATTATCGTATTAGAAATTATTTACATTGAATTTTTCAAGGAATGATTCCTTTTTCTTGTTTGAAACAAAAAGGAACAAAATAAGGTCATTATACGTTTGTAGTTAAAAATGTAGAAAGTAAACAGAAAGGGTGTCTTAGAAAAGCGATGCAAAACGATAGAGAGCGGAAAAAAGAAACAACGAGCTGCGCGCATGCTATATAAATGAAATTATACTACGTGAGAAGATTTTTGCAAAGTCGCATCAAACTAAAATACTATATAGCCAGCAGAAAGATATTACCGTTATCCTTGACCCAATAATTAATTGATTTGGGCGAAGCCTCGACAAAACATTCCAAGACTACATCTGTACCTAGAGGAGCACCTACCAGTTGATTAGGCACATGAATTACCGGCGAGACTGTGAAACAGAATTCCAAATAGGATTTGTAGAGGTAGAATGCTAGTATGTTTTTCTTTGCTCGTTTTGTTAGAGATTGGTAAATTATTATCGGCCAGGATAGTCACTATTACTCACAATGGACGTTGATAGAAATACGTTTGCTGACCGCCGGTGGCACACCGTTGATAGCGATGCACAGATAAACTCCCATTTCGTTCCTCGAAATCTTCATCAGTCTTAGCTCTTCGCCGTGGTACTCGTTCACTGAAGTTACTAAACCAGATAAATACCTAAATAAAGATCTTGTTAATGCGATATTACGAAATTTTCTACTGTATATGTACAACTAAATAAGTTATATGTACATATACATGTACAAAAACAAAATAAATATTTTCTTCATTTTTCGTAAAAGACGTGTTCTTACTTTTAACAAAGTTAGTTAATTCTACAAATGTGTTTGAACAAAAAATAGGTTACAATACATATTTGCAGAAAATGTAAAATGCAACAGAGAATTTAAAAACATTAAGTTACGCAAAATGTATTTCACAATACATAACAATAAAGGATATACGATACCTTGTGAATCATTTCTTTCATTATTATTATTTGGTATTTTATTAATATGTATTTAATATCTATCTTGTTCAATATATGGGAATTTACGTTTAATTCTATGCAACTAAAAGAAATTTTATATAACTAAGCATGTATAAGTATATTGTTTAATAATTTATAATTTACAGTGGCAGGAACGATTGAATCGTTATGTTAAGTTTTTGAGCGAACTTTAGCTTGAATTTTTATATTCTTTTTAACACAAGTGAAGCAATAAAGAAACTTATGAATTGAGTTAATTTTAACCTAAACAAGAAATTTCAAAAAGCATACAAAATTTCTTTAAATATATTCCTAACAATGCATTCAAACCTAATATCGTTCTTACGGTTTCGGTTTGTTAATTAGTTTTGAACACTGTCATTTGTAGTTTTAGAATAAATTGCTATGATAATTAGAAATTTATCAATGTGTTCCTTATAGTCTGATATTAAAATTTGAGATATGATTGAATATACGATAGTTGAAATAATTTCAAGATAATATAAAACAAACACTATATTCGGGCATTTTTTAATCATGCCAAAATATATTTAGATTGGCAGGAAAAACTAGCCAACATACCTAATGTAAGCGTTTTTATACAATTTGTTACATCTGTTCCTTCTCTGTGCTAGTGATAATATTGCATTAAAACACGCTATCTTTAATGTGTTTTGCCACAAACTTGTGAAAATATCGATTTTCTTAAAATTTCGAGATATATTTAAGGTATCGGTTCACAGAACTCGTAATTCCCCATTTAATTATATAAGAACAGAAAATAGTAGGATCGTTTGCATACAGCAAACGTGCATCGTACGTTCCTCCAGTTTCATTAACAGTCACAGGATTCTACCTGGAGATGAATAGAAATCTCTGTTAGTAATACTATTAAAATCTACAGTCGTTAAGCAGAAATTTTCATTATTAAAATTGACGAAGGTACTCGAGGCTGTCGTTTCTCTTCTCTGCCTAAGTTGTTGTCCGTAAGGATCAATTAAGGAAACAATGTTGCGCCATATCGTTTAAGATGCAGTCCCTATTTAGCTACGGTAATACAATTTCTGCGCTAAAATAAACGTCTTTTTATAGCGAAAATTCGAGTTAACCATTTTATAATATGTTTTCTGTAACTCATAACGTCAACTTCATAACATCAAAATTTATCTACAAATCTTAAATAATATTATATCATTACTACTCTACGGTATGTTAAGACGACTAATATCGATATTTTTTCTCTTTTTTTTTTAACAGAAACGTTGGAAACTAAATAAGTTACATATAATTTTCTTAGAGAAAATTTCAACTAAAAAGGTAAGTTCCGCAAAATCATCGTACTGCTTGCTAGCCATTTCATGGGAAATCGCTAATTAATGAGTTTGTAAATTACAAATCATCGCTTAAACTTTCAGTGAGCTGTATTATGTGGTGTAACATCGGTAATTACACAAGTATAATATTCACAATTTGTCAGGAAACCACGATTTATTGAACAAATTCAAAATTGAAAGTGAATGATTAGTCAAAGATAGAAATACAAAATAAATAACTTAAGAAACCTCGAAATCTTCTAGATAACGATATTATAATATGATTAAAAGCAAAGAAAATAGTGAATAATTATTACTATTATTGGAACGACGATATTATATATTCTTATAAATTAATCGCGTATGACATTTATAATTCAGATTTCATAATATGTATTATATTTTAATGTTCAACTATCTGAAATTTTATGTTGCTCAGATATTTCTCGTAGCCAGAGATGGAGAGTTGAGGTGGAAATAATTGTCATCTTCTACGACAGAATTATATCTAAAATATGGTAGAGATCATAAAATATTCTACAGAATTTGTGAAAGATAGTGAAAAAATTGAAGTTTGTTTTAGTGAAAGATGTATCCTACTGACATTGATTAGTGATTTCTCATATTACGATAACATGACACTTCATGTTCGAATCAAGATGAAAACAAGAAAAATATCAAATAATTCACGTTTAAATTTCCTACAAATGCATAAACACTGCAGTCTAAATAATTAGTTTGTTCGAAATCAGCATCCCGTTATCTTACCGTTCATTCATAGGCGCGTACACGAAATTGAAATAACATCTTACAATGGATGAAGTTGCAGACCTCGTAGTTGGGTTGGCAACATTTCTCCCTCGATACCCAATAATTATCGGTATTGTAGGCTAACAATAAGTTATCCCGTTTGCGCGCAGTTAGGGGCCACTGCACTTAGCTCGTGTCGCGTCGCGAGGGTTGCATTCGCATACATTGCCACAGCATCTTCGATATAATTCGCTTGCTATTAGTAACACCATGCTGAAGTGAATGCTAAATGCTTCGTTTAGGTCGAATCATCGATGTAGAACATAAAGAGACAATGAGGAATATAACTCCGACTGATGCTACGCGATGCGACGCGCCATTTCACGATCAAACATTCCGCAATTTTATGAACGCTATCTACTGATCGTTTCACGGTCATGTTGTGACGCCACACCACGCCACGCCACGCCACGCCAACGCCCCAAGAACGTAATACAGTTGTATGCATGGCCGGTGATATTATTAAAAAGTGGATTATTCCGAGAGAATCCTTTCCTTTTTTTTTACATTTTTTTGTTTAGTTTCGACGCAAACGTGCAGTAGATGCATATACAGCAATAACATCTGGAATACCATGGTGTCTGAATGTTAATGCGAGTCACGATCTTGATTGCTTTACAATTAGTAATCAGAACAGTTAAACCAGTCAGAACCTGTATTATGCATACGAATATAATATAGAATAAAGGAAACAAAGGCAAAAATATCTGGGTTGTCCGGAAAGTTCGTCCTGATTTTTAAAGAAAATTCAAACATAGCACATTTAAATTTCGATCTACATCTATAATTAGTATTATTATATAAGTGCCATTTTGTTCCACAACCTTTCTCCATCTTTTACACAACGTAAGTATCCCATTGCTCCAAACCTCTCGGGTATCTCGACAAAAATCTTTTCAATATGATTCTTAATATCGATCAAAAGGTTAAAGTTTTAGCCATCAAGGGAATTTTGTAATGACCTAAATGAGTGAAAATTTGAGGGTGCAATGTTTGGTGAATACGGGTGGGGTACACATCCCAAGCAAGATCTAACAGCTTTTGTCGAGTAGTCAAAGACACATGAGGCCGCGCATTGTCCTAATGAACACGTCAGCTTTTTGATTCGCTAATTCTGGACGTTTTTGTTCAATTGCTATCTTTAATTCGTCTAATTGCGAGCAATGCTTCTCCGAATTTATCATTTGGCTGTTTGGTGGAAGCTCGTAATACAAATGTAATACGTAATATGTAAAATGTAATTGTAAATAATCCATTTTTCATTCCCCGTCATTACTTGCTTAAAAAATAATGTCTCTTCATTCATAGAGCGAGTCACAAATGGAAATGCGAATCATCAGATTCTTTTCCGTTAAATCGTGGGAAATTATATATCAAAACATTTTACATAGTCAAACTTCACAAAATGCTCATGGATGATGGATTTCGATACTTTTAACATTTCTTCTAATTCACGCGTCGTGGGTTATTCTCGATCAGTGTTATGTTCTGATTTTCATCAATGGTGGAGGGCCTACCCGGACGTACCCGATATTCCAAGTCGAAATCACCAGCTTTAAACTTAACGAACCACTCCCGCACAGCTCTTTCAGCTATAACACTGTTATCATAAACAGCGCATATTTTGTTTGCTGCTTGTGTGGCATTTTTGCCTCTCCAGTAAAAGAAAAGCATCAAATGCCTATAATGCACTTTGTTTCCTTTCATATTTAAGAGTCTATAAAACTAACAAAAGTTAATATATCTTAACCAAACTTTTTTTTAAAAATGCCTGAAATATCACCTTTTAGAATATATGCACATGTCATTTGTTTTCAATCTTCTGATATACTCAGACTTGCTCTAATGCTACCTACCGAAAATTGGAACGAACTTTTCGAACAGTCCGATATTTTAGAAAATAGATATTCAGTTGCAGGTATGTGTTTCAGTCTGTACAATGATACTATTATGGAAATAATACAAGTCATAAAACGACACTATATAATGAAATAATACTAGCGGTACAACGTTTGCAATAAATCGAGGATGCAGATATCTCGAAATTGTCTACGAACGTGCTTATGTATATAAAAATAAACCAATTTCGTGAGTAAATCGTTAACGTGACCTGTACAATCGAGACTTTTATCGATTCCGTAAGACGTTGCACAAAATGTTACTTAACAATTTCTAGATAGTTACACGTCCCTTGTAGGCAGTTTCGGGTGAGTCCGTCGCGAAGTAACGGTTCTCGATGAACTAAGGAAATTAAAATACGAAGTGAATCAGGTTAGAGGAAAATATTATTGTATACTCCACGTTATATCGACGAAATGGTTGAAACGTCAGCTATATTAAATCTCACCATGAGACTTCTGGTTCAAGGCGTTCCCTGCAAATGGTTTTCGAATTATGATGTTCTTTCCGTCTTCTCTGCGCCACGATATGCTAGGTGGAGGCACGCCTCTTGCACGACACATTAGCTTCACCTGTACATGTTATGGAATCAAAATTATAAAGAAACTTCGTTATTACCGGCCGCGGAATAAGGCCGTATCACGTATAAATGTTTGAAAAAATTAAAATCGCAGGCTCGTGCGTGAAAACTATTCGAGCGAACTGTTGAACTGAATTTGTTGAAATGTTGTTCATGTTGACATGGTGTATATAGAGAAATTTTGAAAATTTATAATTAAAGGGAAAACAAAGTGTAGTTTCGACCAATCGCGAGGAGACGCAATTGCGAAGAAATACGTCACCGGTAGTTGTAAATTCCTGTTACGATTATAATAATCGACGCCATGAATAGATCGATCCCCCGATTTCCGTTGAGACAATAGGGGTGGTTGAGGTGGTATAACGCTGCGATTAACAGGGTTATAAAATTTATGTTTCCAACACTTAAGAGTTACACTGAGGCGTATGTACAAGTTAAATAAGTGATTGATTTAAGGATAGTAACCCGGTAATGACATATTGACTATTCTAACGATGAAGGATAAGTGAAGTTCGTTCTTATGTGATTACGGAGAAAAGCTCGGAGTGGGTGTGTCTTTTGAACTAAGGACGTGGATTCGTTGTTCACACTTTTCGTTAGGACAGTCAAGGGTAACGATCCGCGATGCCCATTGGTTATAGCCAATATTAATAAATAAAGATTGGAAGAGGAAACCTCCTACCGACGTGGCTCGGGGGTGACCTTGTGCATGGGAAAAACCGACTTTTCCGTTAGACATCCATCCGCTTTCCCCGTAATTTGTAAGAACGTGCAATAAACCTAAGGACTGTTTTAAATACCCGTTATAAACCGAAAATACTTACAGGATTGAAGGTTCCTGCAAGCTAATAAGATTCGGTTTATGGTCGGGCCTTAGGTAACACAAAGGCGATAATCTAATTCTAAAGTGACAAATTTTCGGACGACGGAGAACGTCTCGGCTGACTTCAAAATTTTCGTGACGTCAGCTATTATGAAATGAAAATTTATGAAACTTTTGTATGAAATTACATGGCGCAATTGTTAATTATCGTTGAAAATCGTTTCTTTGCAAACTCAATAACCAGAGAAATTTATAGTTTCATATGGAACATTGTTCATTACGGAGTGATAAATTTCATCGCTACGTTTCACAATCTAATAATTGTTTTACTTTATTAGGTAAAAGGCGTTTTGAAGTATTTTAAATTCTTTATCGATAAAATTGCAGGCTTATCATTCAAGATGGACCGTGTTGAAGAAAACTATAAGTAGCTTGAATTTATAATGCACAGTGCTTTGGTGTTGCGAGACTTTACAGCAAAAATATGTCATGCGATAAAATTAAATTTTCCCACCATTTTAGAGACCAATAAATTTCCTACTGTACGTAGCGAACAATACTAACAAAGATATGTATCGCAAACGATCAGTTTCAATAATCATGAAATCAATCAATATGATGCCAAGTAGGAGACGAATTCTGTTTAACGACGTTAAAAATATTACACATATTTGAATGATAAAATATATAACACAGACGACAAAATATTAATATATATTATTCATATGATTGAAAATAAATACAAGAGCATCACGTAAGACGCTACAGAAATCTCATTTACGATATTACACGTAAACTAAATTTTGTTAGATATAAAAGAATGCTTCGACTTTTAAAATTGAATGATTTTCTCGATATTATAATTGTGTAATGCTTAAATAACATGACATAAATTATATTACGTAAATTTTTTACCAATAATTATCAAAGAACCACCGATAAAGCTCTGAGCTTCGATATATTAAATTGGAACATTGCATTTCTAATATCACGATTGGAATTTAATTTGACATATCTTTACGACGTTTATGAATTTACGACCTATTTGATGAGAATTAAATAAATTAAATTAACTTAAAATTGATCGATATCCACGAGGTGTTTCTCAACCTCTTACACCAAATCTATGACCGCTATTTTTTATTTATTATTCCTTATTCGTTATTTGCCGTTACTCATTTTCACAGGAATTTCACGTGCGAATGTCTCTTTCGAATTTGAAGAATCAGCTTACACTATGTTTAAGGGAGAAAGGGAGAAAGAAGGTGGCTTTGAACAAAATTTCGTCGTTGAACGGAACGAGATAAAGTTCTCTCTATCAGTTTAAAAATATTAAACTCCGCTGAACAAATTGCAACCAATTTATCATTAGACAATAGTAAATGTTCAATTTAGTCGATGTTTTAAAGGTGGGCCATGTACACGATTCACAATCGGTGAAATTCGATTGATTCGAAGTTTCGTAGCATATCTGAAAATAGAATCAGCTTAGAATTTCGTTCATTTCCGGGATGAGCTTTTTCCGTTACGAGTTGACAATCGACGCACTGAAATCAGTCGATACCCTGTTTCGATTAAAATAATAGGGGTGGTTAATTGATTATAACATTGAGTTAACACGTTAACAATACACCTCTTATTCCAACAACTGTTTCTTGTAGAATATAAGTTTTAGAGATAACAGTTAAGACGTCGACTGATAGCCAATAAGTTAAGATCTGACTGAACGGAGTACGCAATATAAGTAAAGATAGTGACTGATCGAAAAACGCAACGCAAGTGAAGTACGGTGACGATGATACCGCGTAGGAAAACTAGTGATGGGTGTCTCTAAGGATACAGGATAAGCGGATTCGTTGATGACAATTTTCGTTAGCAAAGTGAGGGCAACGGTCATTGGTGCTAATTGGCTAAGAAAAAAAGTTGATGAATAAAGAAGGGTGCTAGCCGTCGCCGGAAGAAGGTCGCTCGCGAGAGACATCATACGTCAGAAGAACCAGATTTCCTGTACTTTCCCGGAATTAACAATAACCCTAAGGACTGCCTCAACTTAAAACATACTTGGGTGGTCTTAAGGACCTTAACTGCAAAACATTTTAAAATTTATGTTGGATCCTTAGGATTATTGAGGATATGCAATAAGGATATTTAGACATCTGGCGGCTATCTTGCCCGAGGGACAATTTTATGTAGGAGGCCACGGGACGTAACAATTACTATCACGATTAAGTGCGAGTTAAATGTATGCCTATCGTATTTCTCGACTAAATTTAATGAGAAAGACTAATTAGCCATCAATTTACCTGCCCTCCTTCGCGTACCATGACGTCGCTAGATGTTTCTTCGGGAATAAAGTCCGGTGGCACGACAACCGATAACATACCTGTCTGAAAAGATATAATATTACCTTATATCAGTTAATTTTATTCATTTATTACGCTGCTGATATTCATTTTACTAACAGAAATCTTTAAAGCTCGAAGAAACAATCTTTTTTGTAAAAAAAAGGCATCAATTATTAATATTGGTTTATGAAGGTCTTATCCAAAATATTTCATTTCATTCAATATCAAATATTGAGCGCATTAGTAATGCACAAACAAGCTTCGTGTTTCAGTGATAATAATACGTTACTGTTTCGGGGAAAAATCGGTAAAGTTGAAAATATAATGATGAATGTTTGTTATAAATACCGTGTCTAGCCGATACAATTGTCAAATATTTTACGTCATGTGTCGATTAATTAATACACGAGCAAATGGAAAGTGGTGAGTTTTATGCGCATTAAAAGAAATGAAAAGTCGCGAGTGAACATATCTTTCTAACAAGACATTTTCCGGAACAGGAATTCCGTTGGAGTTACACGATATTGGTAATTCCTCTCTTATCTCAATCAAGTTCGTCAAAGTAACAGATCTGTAGAATAAAAGATTTGAACGCATATCAATAAAATCCCCTGTATTTTCGACCAGTCGCGAAGAGAAGCGATAGCGAGGAAGCGCGTGAACGGGAGTTGTAAATTCCCGTTACGATTATAATAATCGACACCACGAACAGATCTATCCCCTTATTTCTTTTGGGATAATAGGGGTGACTGATGTGGTATAACACTACGATTAACGTGATATAATACTTATATTTCCAACAACTTATTACAATGAAGACTTACGCCTTTACGTGTGATATAAATGTCGTGGACGATTGTTTGACGGATGAAGACCCGATAGAGATACGTTGACTGATCTGTAGGTGAGATTAAGTACGAGTAGATATGTTGATGACTTGATGTCGGAGTATTGACTGAACTAATCTCGGAGAAACGATTGAGTAGACTTTCCTAGTGAAGAAATTGAGTTGATCTTCCTTTTGTTGTCGAAGAAGAAGTTGACTTTCCTGGTGTAATAGAAGAAGTAGTTGACTCTCCTGGTGTAGAAGTTAACTCTCCTGATGTAGAAGAAAGAAGTAGAAGTTGAGTTGACCCTCCTGATGTCGTAGAAGAAGTAGTTGACTCTCCTGGTGTAGAAGAAGTAGAAGTTGACTCTCCTGATGTAATAGAAGAAGTGAAGTCCGTACACGTGTTATTACGGAGGAAATTCCGGTGTGGGTGTGCCTTTTGAACTAAGAACGCGGATTCGTGTTCATACTTTTCGACAGGAAAGCGAGGGTAACTACCCGCGATGCCCATTGGTTATGAATGAAGAGAAGGAGGGAGCCTCGTACCGACGTGGCTCGTGGGTGACCTTGTTTATGGGAAGAACCTGCTTTTCCGTTAGACAAATTCCACTTTTTCCGTTAGGTAACTACCCGCTTTCTCCGTAATTTTTAAGAGCGCCTTATAAACCAAAGGACTTTTCTAAGAACCAGCCATAAACCGAAAACACTTGCAGGATTAGAAAATCCTTCAGGGCAAACAGATTAACTTAAAATACATGTGTTAAAACAATTAAGTTAAAAAGTTAAAATTTATGGTGGGTCCTTAGGTTTATTGAGGGTCAGAATGACGGTACATGAATCGTAAGCTGCCAGGCAATGAAGGACGTCGCACGGACCATCTCACGCGACATAACATCCCCGATGAACTCGAAATTAAGCCCTTTCTTACCGAATCTCTACATTATATCCATGCGCATTACTCTTCGTGAGCGAGACTGAATGATGTAAGAACTCCTAAATCCCGACTGTATTTCACTTTCTTTAACCCTCATTGCAATAGAAGCTGGAGCAACATATTATGGGGTTGTAAAGCTGTGCTAGCAAGGGGCATACGAGCCACGCTCGACGCGATGACAACGCCAACGATGATGTTGGTGATGTTGTTAAGGGTATACCACCGAGAGGTATAATACGTAACAGTCGACTCATCGGGTGGTGTCGAACATTGTTGCGCTGGATAACAATCCTCGCATAAATTTTTTACCATCATATTTAAACTCAATAAGAAAAAAGTTCTGTCATCGATGATGGTTCAGTTTTCCTGTTGAGTGCCGAAGCGTGCAGACGTGTGTCTCGTGCTCTGTGAAGTTCACAAAAAGAAAAAAAAAACACGTGACGTCCATCCGTCGAAAGTGAATCGAAACAGACATAAACCAAGTGTTTCTTAACTTACTAGTGGAAATCCAACGTTCCTAATCTCTGACCCGAATCATAGCCTCTCGATTAGTTATTTCAAGCTGAATTAACTAGCTTGAAGATAGGCCCAGTATTTCGATCAGGCTTTCTTGAGCAAAACCGTAACTGCACCGCTCTACCTCCTCCGTGGCAAGAGCACGATATATCCCTCCTTACAATCGACACTAAAAACACTAAAAAGCGTAAACTAGAAACAATTAAAACAAACGCAAACACTAGCCAAAACAGTCAACAAGCCGTGTTAATCACCTACAATAGATACGCAATACTAGAATCCACAAACGACTCCATGGACGTTACGTAGCTGAAACACTAAGTAACCAACATACACAAAAAATCCCCCCCCCCCCCCCCCCCCCCCCCCCCACCTATATTCATTTGTGATTGCATCGACATTCAAACAATGATAGAGTCTATTAAGAAAGATATAAACAAAGAAGATTACAAATTAAAAATAAATAATAACCAAGTTAAAATTTTAACTTAAACTAACTCAGACTCCTATAGAAAACTAACAAAGCTACTAAAAACCTTGAATGCAAACTACCACACTTATCAACCTAAACAAGAATACTGCCCTCCCAGACACTCCATCGACAAAGAAGACTTTGATAACTTCCTGGATGCTCTGGGCAATCGATTCATAGCTGGAGGAGACTATAGCGCCAAACATATCCAATGGGGCAGCAGACTTACCATAGTAAGAGGCAAAAATCTCTTGAATAGCATAAACACCAACAGTCTCAACTCATATGAACCCACATATTGGCCCACTGGCACCAACAAAATAGCTGATTTACTTGACTTCTTTATAACTAAAAATATCTCGCCAAGATATGTCCAAATCAACTCCTCGGAAGAACTCTCTACAGAACATTCCCCCGTTATAGCAACAATTAGCTCAACAATTATCGAAAATCCACCTAATGGTTTTATTCATAACCAACTCACCAACTGGCAGCTCTTTAGAGAAGTCTTTAATCATTCAACATCAACCTTAATTTCCCTAAAAACAAATGAAGATATCGAAACAGCCACGGAATACTTAAACAACAGCATGATAAACGCTCTCCGCTCCTCCACACCTACTAAGACTTCTATCAACAAACATGAATACCCCCATTACATATTTAACAAAAATCGCAGAAAAACGTAGGCTTAGAAGAGTATGGCAGATCCATAGAACACCTGAGGACAAACGCAAACTAAATAACGCGACTAGGGATCTAACCAAAATCATTAAAAATTATAAAAACGACTGTTTCCAAAAATACCTCGCCAATCTGTCTCCCACAGCTGACTCCAACTACTCACTATGTAAGGCTTCCAGGAAACTCACGCGTCCCCCGCAAATAATCTCTTCCATCCGCAGTCCGCAAGGTGGCTGGGCGCGTAGCCCTTTAGAAGAAGCCAACCTGTTTGCTGATCAGCTATCTAACGTATTTAAACCTCACTCCTCCAAAACTGCCGCGGAAATAACCGAATACCTGCACTCTCTCTTTCAAATGTCTCCTCCTATTGAACCTTTCACTTCTGTAGAAGTTACAGAATTAATCCGTCGCCTAAATCCCAGGAAAGCATCGGGGCATGACCAAATATGTAATACAGCAATCAAGGAACTTCCCACAAAAGGGATTGCACTCATTACATCAATTTTTAACGCAATTCTTCGCCTTGAATACTATCCAAAGTCCTGGAAAATATCACTGATTACTCTCATCCCTAAACCCAGAAAACCGATATATGAAACTAGCTCCTATCGCCCAATCAGTCTTTTACCTACTTTGTCAAAACTATTCGAGAAGATACTAACGAACCGAATCATTCCACTCTTAGAGGACTTGAAAACGCTTCCGGAAACCGAATTGATGATCTGGTAGTAACATTCGACAATAGAGCAAATCCATCGCATAACACATGATATCAGCCAAAACTTAGAAAAGAAAAAATATTGCTCAGCGGTATTCCAGGACATTCAACAGCCATTCGACAAGGTATGGCATGAAGGACTTCTATACAAACTAAAGAAAATCCTACCACACCCCTACTACTCCATCCTAAAGTCCTACCTAACCAATCGACAATTGATAGTTAAATACTTAGACGCCACTTCCACAATATTCCCAATAGAATCTGGCATACCCCAAGGTAGTGTCCTCGGACCCCTGCTATTCTCCATCTACACTGCCGATTTACCAATATCAACAGAGATAACAATAGCAACATTTTCTGACGACACAGCGCTATTAGCTGCCCACGCAGACTCGATAATTGCTTCATCAACTCTCCAGCGATGTCTCGACTCTATGAAAAAGTGGTTTCATATATGGGGCTTCACAATTAATGAAAAAAATCCATACACGTAACCTTCACGCTCCGAAAACAAACCTGCCTCCAAGTCACCATCAATAATACAACAATTCCTAACAAGGACACAGTCAGATACCTGGGCACGACCCTGGACAGGAGATTAACTTGGAAAAATCACATCACAGACAAAACGAAGTAACTCAAGGGCAAACTCAAGAAATTCTATTGGCTCACTGGCCGACGCTCCAACCTAAGCAGAAAGAACAAAATTAGCCTCTACAAAACCGTAATAAAACCTGTCTGGACCTACGGAATCCAACTATGGGGAACAGCAAGTAACTCCAACATTGAAATACTTCAACATTGGTATGTAACCAATGAAACAATACACCGCGAGCTCGAGATACCCACAGTCAAAGAGGAAGTAGCAAAATACAGCGACAGATATAGCAAAAGAGTCAACAAACACCGAAACCCCCTAATCACTGGACTACTTGATACGTCGGACTAGATCCGCAGGCTGAAGAGGCACTACCCGCTAGACCTAAACGCTAGATTTAATTAGATATTTATATTAAGTAATATTTACTTATTTATAACACTTACTTATAAATTATATTTATATTAAGTAATATTATTAGATATTTATATTAAGTAATATTTACTTATTTATAACACTTACTTATAAATTATACTTATCTATAATAACTATTAACTTATTATAAATAATTAGCTACGCTACGCCAGGAAAAATTACTGAAAATTCTCAATGCGAGAATTGATTGCAATTATTAATAAATAAAAAAAAAAGAAAGTTCGAAGGGATTTCCACTGATTGACTAAAGCCCTTTTTTCTACTTACCACTATTGGCAAGTAACTCGCCAAGTAACACGACTAAATCGTGCGCAACGTCGAACAAAGCACAGCTCCATTATTTTTAATGGAATCACATATTTTTTAATACATTAATCAATCTGTTATGGCATTTCTTACAACAAATTAGTAACCTACTTATGTCGAAAAGCTATTATAGTATTGAAAACAAAATTTTAATAAAGAAAATAATTAAATTTTTTGTTTCTGTTAAATATTAACAACTAAGCATATGTGTAGGATATGTAGTATCGTAAATATAATATTGATGATTTATTTACAATAAATGGACTGTACAGATGTTGATTAAACGGAAGACAGATGGTTGTTTAATATGAACTAATCGCAATAATGGACTATAATTTAGGCAACTCAATAGTTAATTTGCAACTCTCGCCATCACGAATCCAACGCTCTCTCTCTCTCTCTCTCTCTCTCTCTCTCTCACGCGCGGACCACACTCTCACGACAACGCTAGTGTCACGTACAATTAAGGCTTAGCTTTTAAAGACAAGAAGGTTGAGCCATAGCACAACTTTATATTTCTTTTCTATCGAACTTTATTAGATAACACAACTTTATAAACACAGTTTACGCGACTAATCTGAGGGATGTTGACTGATGAGAGTTTGTAATTTCAGTCCCGAGGTGTTCTGGTATTATTACGGTAAAAGCTCGGTGTGGGTGTGCCCTTTGAACTAACAACGTGGATTCGTTATTCACACTTTCTGTTAGGAAAAGTGAGGGTAACGACCCGCGATGTCAATTGGTTATAGCACACGTTAATAAATGAAAATAGGAGGAGGAAGCCTTCTACCAACGTGACTCATAGGTGACACAGGTTCATGGGGAAAAGCAGCTTTTCCGTTAGGTAAATATCCGCTTTTCCACCGTAATTTTTATGAACATATAATAAATCTAAGAACTGTTCCAAGGACCATCCATAAACCAATAACACTTACAGGGTTAATAAACTGAAAGTTTAAGTTTATGGTGGGTCTTTGAGGTTATCGAGGGTACGCGGTGAGGACCCGCACACATCTGGCCTCAGATGTGCATTGACGTCACACTAGCAACACTATCTCGACAACGCAACTCGCACTCTCTGACTTCTCGATTCACACTCTCTGCCTTCTCCACTGACACTGATTGTTTCAGCATCCCTTTGTCTTCCACGTGTTCCGCAACCACTCGTCGCCAGGGTCACATAGGCCTTTTCTACGAAACTATTCAATTGAAGGACCAACGACACATTGATGGGTCCGACGGCGCTTCGGCTCTCGCGACACTGTTTATGGTTTACCCGATATCTCTTAGGCCTTTTGTCCACGATACCACAGTTATGGTAGACAATTTTTCATAATTATAATATTAAATATCTTACATACATATATGTGTATATATATGTTGGATGAGTACAAGGATTAAGGTTGTGGGCGTCAACTGAATCTTCACCGGAATTACAACACAGGTGTAGTTTATTGCAATAATGGGATTTTTACAGTTCTGACAATTAATCACGGCGATCAGGCACTCGCGACACTAGTGACAATGGCCTCAGGTTCAATCACGAATCTGTGGTCAACGGGGTGATAGATAAACATTCTCACAAAATCTAAGTCTGACTCTTTGTTAGCAAAACGTGAAATAATCACTGATCGTAAAGACGTTACTCTTTTGTCGACGAGATCACGAGAGAGAATGACTTTCCGTCCCGATGATGCCACAGAGGAAAACTGTGATGGGATGTGTCTAAGAACACGAGATCATCGGATTCGTCGAGGATAGCCTTTGTTCAGGAAGTAAGGGAAATTGACGTTGCTGCTAATTGGTCAATCTTCGTATCGATGGTTAGAAAAAGATATTAGCGGCCCTCGAGGGAAAGTTGCTAGTGGGAGACGTCGTTCGTTGAAAAAATAGATCTCCCAGATCTTCCCGTAATTGGGACAACGACTGTTTGTCTGTTTGAAGGACCTTAGGCAACTAGATCTTAGTGTTTATCACGGCCCTCGGGCAAGCTGATCACGTATTGCGGAGACGCCTCACTTTCTGCCCGAGCAGTCGAGCTATGCAGACGTGGAAACTAGTGCCTCCGTAAGTGCGACAAGACTGAAAGAAAGGACGTGCAACAGAACCAATCGATGATGGAAAACATTCAAAAGATACCAACAATAAGAATACTAAACAAAGGAGAAACATACGCTATAAACAGAGCCCAAATAAACCAACAAGTGAAGAACTGCTCAAATACAAACGAAATAGAGACGGAAATCATACAAAAAGACGACGAAAAGAACAACATCAACAAGGATCTACCACAACATAACGAAAGCTGGAAGACTGTAGCTCCCAGCAAAAAAAGAAAAATAAATACAAACACAAATGTTAGGAGGACTACAGAAACAGAAAGACAACAATGGCTACAAGAAATTCCCACACAAAACTCCTTCAGCTCACTGACAGAAGAGATGGACACAGACCCTACAGAAAAACCAAGAACACACGCCCCCAAGCCATCAGCAATCTACATAGACGCTAAAATAATAGACCCCCTCATTGATCTGTCAAACAGCACGGCAGGAAAAGAAAACTACACCATTAAGCAGCTCAAACTGGATCATGTAAAAGTACAAACTAATACCCCAGAAACCTATAGGAAAGTGACAAAAGCGCTAAAGGAAAAAAACGCTGGGTATCATATTTACCAACCCAAATCTGACAAAAGCTACAAAGCAGTAATCAGAGGTTTAAAACAAATACAAACCTAAATAAATAAACCCTAAAACAAATACAAACAAAAT